TCAAACTATGGAGTTAAACTAGTCTTGTGTAATGGTTTATAAAAGAAATACAAACAATTCGTGCAAGAAATAAAAAAATGGCAGAGTAATGTAATATTTTATGAGATACTTAGGCCCTACATGTTCAAAAAGCGTAGCCTAAATCCGTGCTCATTAAAGGATTATTATCAAGGGTTAGGGTTAGGGTCAAGAGTGCCTCGGATACCCACCTTTCTTCAATGTTTCCTGTGTTATTTTGTCACTGCTGATCCTGATGACACCTGACTAAGATTGACCACTGTAGCGCTCATCTCTCTTAATGCCTTTTTGTTTATAATTTTAAGTTGTTGTGTATTGTATGATCGGTTAGGTCAGAGGTGTTGTACTAAATGACATGTTAGCGTCAGATGAACCAACTCAGACTCTGAGGAGAACAGGGACTGGCCTCCTGCTGGTCCCAGAGTAAAAACTAAACATGGAAATGCAGCGTTTCAGATTCACAGGTAAAATCTCAAACAGTCTTCCTGAAAATGACAGACAGGATTCTTCTCTGACGATGTTTAAATCTAGGTAAAAACATTTCTGTTCAGGTGTGCTACAACTGAGGGATTTGATCTGTGATATTTTAATGCACTGTGATTTTTTTATTATTTTAATGTCTTGTGTGATTGTTTCAGGTTTGGTTCAGCACTTTGAATTGCCTTGTGTCTGAATTGTGCTATACAGATAAACTTGCCATGCCTTTCTTGCCATGCCAACTTGTCTTTCCAACTTAACTGCAGAGAAAAACCACACTCCTATTCTCTTAATGCAAATGTCTCCTGAAAATATCTAATTAATACTATTACTTTACACTATTTTTGGGAAAGGACTCAACGAATTTCAAGCTAGACTGAACCCGCAGCCAGCCTCTGTCCTGGTGGGTCCTGATGGGTCCTGGTGGGTCCTGGAGAGACTTTCACAGGTGAGCAGACAGATGCCCAGGGGGAAGGAGCCAATCTCCCACCGTCCCACAGAGCAGCAGAGCAGGACCGGGACCAGCAGAGGGAGGTAGTGGCCCTGCTCAGAACGGCCCCACACTCAACAGCTCAATTAGAGAGGAACGGAAAATATGTGTAGCATTTTAGCATTCATTAAATATTCATTCATTATACAAGCAAATCCTCAAAGCTGCAATGCGTAACAATTATGGCGGGGGCCCCAACTCGCTCGTTTCTCTGCAGATGTAGTCCAGCTTTGTTTGGGAAGTATCTAAGTAGGATACAGAAAGAGTACATTATTTGATTGCAGATTTTGTCAACAAAAACTATTAATTAAATATGTGTTTATTGGGTTGACTCACTTCTCCTCGGATATGACCTGTAACTTAGCATGATGTTACCTTATAATCTCCAAAGTAGATACAAAGTCATAATAGTAATAGTCTCCTCTGGAACAATGGAGCAAACCATTTAGCAAAAATCAGACCCTTAACCATTAAGTTCAAAATACACCAGTAAAGGAGACATATTTGTATTTTTATACTTGTTCCAGCATAAAAAAGACCCGGAGATGTTGAGAGATCCATCTACAATAATATCAGTAATCTCCGGCACAAATATGTCTCTCTGCCCCTTTTCTCTAAATACTCTTGTGTCCTGACGTTATAATAAATGATTGACATATTTACAGCCAGTTTCTGCCTTTGAAAGCAGAGGTATTGCCTACATTAGTTTTGGCAAATCCTCTGGCGGAATGACTCTCTGTAGCACGTACTGTAAGGTTTGATAACAATAATAACATAATATGAGAAAAATAACTCCTCCCTCTGGTGGCAGAAGTGGGGAATTACCTGCGGATCCCATGTTTTAACCCTAACCCTAATACTTGCTATCCATATATTTTTTAAGGATTATTTCATACTCTAAAACAGGAAAGGTCAAAGAAAATTGTCTCATTCTCATAATTGAGGCATTCAAAATAATACATTATATGTCTGTTTTAATCAAGAATATTTTTACTACATATTTTATAGTGTGTATCCTGTATTACTGCTTCTCTACAGCATGTTGGAAATGATTTTGTTTGGAAAATGTGATATACTGTATAAATGAAATGGATTTGGGATTAGAATCTAAATGTATATCTGTGTAATGTCAATGCTTTTATATATTATGGATATGCTGGAAGCTCCAAACAAAGAAAAGCCTTGCTGAGGTTCAGTGGGTGGACTTGTGGGAGAGGGGCTCCATGCTACAGTGCTATAAAAACACAATAATCCAGAGGACAGAGGTTAAACCGGATCCAGCCAGGAATAGGACCAAATATAACTGTGAGGCTCCGGGCGGCAGATGAAATATGGGATAACAAGCCGAGCGCTGGCAGTAAACATGATGAATCAAGCCGTGAAAAACAGCAGTAACCGTGAGACAGACAGCGGAGAGAAAAGAGCAATGGTGACTGAACTTTATGAAGAGTTTTATTATTATTTAAGGGGCCATACAGCTCAGTATTGTGTCAAATCTGTTACACACACAACGCTATATTTGGTAACGTTCTTAAAAGTGGTCTTAAGTAAGGGCGGTTTCATAGACATTTGAAACTGTATTATTCACAAGCAAATCTTAAAAAATGTTTAATTTAAAAGTGAAATGTAAATACAACTTTAGGAAGATTCTGAGCAGTTTCAAAGGGTTCCAGGTAAGCCCTTGACTCACAAAGAACTGTTTTGTTTTAGATTTTTTTTCTGACTGGAAAGAGGAAGAGTATCCCATGGTTTCATTAAAGCTGGGGTACCTGACTTTCTCATACCATCAAAGATACAATCTATTTTTCCCAACAAAAAGTCTTGTAAAAGCGCAATATTGTGCACAAATCAGAACAGCAGAGAAAAAGCTCAGTGAGTCTGATTTGGATTGTAAGCTGATTGGTTTAGCAAGATAAGTCCTCTAGTTTTCACGTAAATGTCTGAACAAAAATACATCAAAGGCCAAAAATGCCTTCATGTGAAAACTAGTGATAGAACTGAAATGTTTTAAAAGCCGTCTTGCTTATTATGTAGCCCTGTCTTCAGTGGTTTGGAGGTAAGGTATGATGTAGATGTTGGAAGTGAACAGAAGACAATTGTCCGTGTGAACACTGGATGGCATTGTTGCTGTTCTGACGGCAGCAGCTCTGTGCACAATGTGGAGGCCGCTCTAAATGTGAGACTTTTATGTAAAGAAACACACACACAATCGATGCCTAAAAAAAACAACAACAAAAAAACTGTACCGAATAATGACAGCCTTCTCATATAACACATCATTTATCACCTGAAAGAAATGAATGCACAACTCTCTTCTCTATATAAAGAACTACTCATACCTTTTCAAATAGCTAAATCTGCATCACAGCATAACTTTGTTTCACTTTTCTCCAAGGTTCAAATGAAACATGTAAAATCTGCATATTTAAAACTCGCTTTGGATTCTCCACCCGTCACAGCCTTTTCGATCCGCTCATTTTGAAGCAATCCATAATAACTCATAGTTGAATTTCTTTTCTTCCAGCGCAAACAAATGCCTCCCTGTCCCGGGGAGTGTTTCCATGTGAAATATGAGTTGTTGACACACAGCTTGGGACTAGCTTTTCCAGTTTGGTTTTGGAACTCTCTCTCTCTCCGCCAGTGTTATATCCTCGACACCAGACACCAGGATTACACTCTCTTTCGCTGCGTTATGTACCAATACTTGTAATACAATATTGCAGTTTGGTATCAGCAAAAACACAATGAAGTCACTTAAAAACATGTGCGATATGTGTTTGGTTACTGTGCTTTGCTTCTGGATCTACTGTATCTATAGTGGCCAAAGGTTGTGCTGTATCTAACAATGTCAATAATAACTTATGAAAATGTACAGTGACAATATAAGCTAACCTGCAATGAACAATGTTTTCATTTCTAAAGCAGAAAAAATTAATGGTATTGACCAATTTGTCGCTTCTTTCACCTCATCATGTAACCTTTCTTCGCTAATTGTGCATTTTGTATATTTTCCGACGTTCACTGTTGGCTTTTCTATCATTATGCAAATACTTTGGCCAGAAAATACCAGTGTTTTTTTGTTCCACAGATAACTTTGCATTGCATTTAGTACAGACCCAATTGGTCACACATAAAAATATATTTGAACCTGCAGACTTATTCACTGGGTTTTAAAGGATTTTTTTCTCACTTTTAACTTTTTCACAGCATTTTTCCCTCATCCAACACAGACCTGAAGTTGTTTTTAGATAAATAAACACGTTAATATCAGGAAGATTAATCTCCAGCCTAAATGTTCCTATCTCAAACCTGTAATGATATGATGTCATTGAACCACAACGACATCATGCTCCAACAATTTTTTCTCCAACACAAGTATTTCCCAAGACAATGTCTGAAGTGAAATGTTCTTTACTAACACACTGCTGTATTTGTGTGCATTTTTGAATCCGAAAGCAAAAAAACAAACAAAACAATTTCAACTCCTCCCTCTGGTGGTAGCATAGGGAGTTACAGACGCAAAGCCCATTATAATTATCATACTAATTTCACAACATTGTTTGCATCCTTATGACAATATTTCACATCCTAAAACATGAAAATGACAGAGTAGAGTCTCCTTATCACTGTAATGGCCAACAATGACGCATCATATTTCTTCTTTAATACATAAAGTGCAAATGAAAATGGTATTGACAAGTGCTATGTGACAAAATAGAAAAAAAAAAATACCTTTAAATGAGCGTATGCTGCTTGTGAGGCTGTGGCGTTGCATTGTGACCTGTTCCAGCTAACAGCCGCTCTCATTTAAGCAGCCATCTTGTTATAACGCTGGCTGAAAAAGCGTCCAGTCTGATTCACATCCTCCTGAAACCAACGAGGCGCATCACATACCAGATCTGGCCTTTACACTTAATTGTTTTCTCTGCCCCGATGCCCCTATACTTCACCATCTCTCACTTCAGCACCCTCAGAGATTGTCTATAAATGCTATTTGAATTCAGTGTTTCTAATGTTAAAAGCAGCATCTCCACGGCGGGCAGCAGCAGCAGCACAGACGGCGGAGAGGGTTTTTCTTCTTGTATCGTGCGGCAAGTTTGAATTTCTCGTTAGTGACCGCCACGTAGTCCTGAGTCCTCTCCACGTTGGTCTGGATGTGGTCGATGAAGGCGCCTTGTTCCTCCACCACCAGAAATATGTCCATAAACAAGTCCCTCAACTCCCTCATGTTGTTCTCCAGGCTCAGCAGTTCCTGACGGTATGAGGGCAGAAGAAGTGAGTTTATTTCGCGATAAAGATGTCAAATATCAAATTATTGTGAAAGGAAGTCGCTCGGATTGACTTTTTTTTACAACACGTGCAATAAGGGCAGTGGAGGACTTATGCTAAGACAGTTAATGGAATTACTGCATGCAATATGAAGGGTATTTGGATGCCAGGAAAAGTAATATAAATATAAAATTCACTTTCATTAAGGCGTTACAATGTTTTCACAACAAACAAAAATACTCTGACAGTTAATCATATAATTAATACTTTAATTTCTCCATTTTGAGATGAATGCAGTTTATGTTATGTTACATGTATGTTATCGTCTAAATATGTATTCTGTTGCTAATACTTTGTCGTAGCTAACATAGTATAAACAATTATATAGCCCCCTGCTGCTTGAATACTCTTCTCACTTTTTAGGATTTTTATATTGTCTACTTTCATTGGAATTAAAGTTTTATACTTTAATAATTATGCCAATCAAAAATCTGTCTGTATTATCTGCATTGTTCCACTGTGGTAAAGAGAAGTTATTTTATTCTATATTATGAACGAATTTGAATATTGACTAATTTAACACTAATATTCGAAATTATATCTTAAAAATAATTAAATGTATTAAGTTGATGAATTAACATTAATGGAGAGTGGTCATCTGCTCTCTATGGATATACGTATTTAATGCATTTGTTGTGTTCGACTGTTGGTGACTAAAACTAGATAAACCTATACGTTAAATACTCAAAATCAACCCCTGGAATAAAATGGTGACTATTTTGAGATATCTACGGAGAATAAAAAGTTAAAGGTTAGAACGAGACACAGCTGTACTTTCTAAGCTGTATCTTATGTTAACCTTTTAAAATAACTCCTTGAAAAGTCATCATTAGGTTAATGACGACTTTATTATGTTCTTATTCCAAGCTTTTCCATGTGACCGGAATGACCCCAATTATTGATACATTTCCTTGATAGATGAAGTTAACAATTATATGTTTTTTTATTAAATCCTTTTGAAATCCAGTACGATGACAAATAACATTGCAAACATCCTTTTGTTTATATGACAATTCAAAGACAGTTTTTGAGGATCCAGGACACGCAACATTCAACAACATTTATGGACATTGGTCTCTGCTCCTTATGGACCAATGGCTTTATGTGTTTTTAACATTGTGTTTGAACGCTTTGATTCTGTGATCCGTGTCGGCAAATTCAGCAGGTTTGTTGAGTCCTTTGAGGTAGTTACTGTTGGGATTTAGGGCTATACAAGAATAAATTGGATTGAATTGATCACTCATCATTCCATTTAATTTAATATTTGATACGGACATAGCAGTTACATTGGACTGACCAGATGCCTTGCCGGTATAGTATAATCGCAAAGACATGCTAAATTTCAACCCTAAACTAACTTCATTTTCAAATATACAATTACACAATTACGCAAAATTGAATTAAAGCTGCTTTACCTCACTTTATTTTTGTTTTCATTACGAACATTCAACCCATATCCATGCAGTGCATTGGGATATACGTCCTTTTGAAAAAAAAAGTAGCGCATGTTTGTGCTGACGTGTCATTTTATCTAAGATCGAGTTTTTGTGCAACGTGGAAGAGAATTTGTTTCGGCTCCAGATTGTGACCAATCACAGCGGACCACTGACCCCCACTTTCTTGAGAAAAGCCACAGGTCTCTTGTCAGCACAGACAGCGGAGGTAAACAAGCGGCGGAGGCTAACCTGAAGCTTTCCGTGTCTTCGTTACTGGTTACTGCTTACTCAGCGAAACAGCCAAAAGAAAGTCTCGTTCCTCCGCGCTTCCCGGTTCCATCATTCTATGGTCACGGCATCCATGTTCAAATGTGCGATCCATATTGTGAGACGTGAGCTCCGTATACAATTAGCACATGAGCACAGGCTGAGTGCGGGAAGGGGAGCAGAAAGAGCGAGGCCAGCGCTCACATTCAAAAATTTCACAAAGTGAGTTAGTGCAGCTTTAAATGGAACAGTTAATTCAATTTGGCTCTGATTTCAGCCAGTTTGCAAGAATTTTAGGAACAGGGTAAAAAAAAAAACATTTTGATTTTGACTATTCCGATACACACAGGCATCCCTTTGTGTTGGTAAAGTGCTGAACAGTGGCCTCACCTTATGTCTCTGCTCGATCTCCGACAGCTGCGAGCGCGTGATTCGAGCGTCGTTGAGCAGGTTCTCGTTGAAAACCTCCCACTTCCCCGACGCCACCATCTCGTTCACCTCGTCCTCCGTCACATCGCGGCCAGAGACCTCCAGCTGACGGATAATGAAGTGTCTGCAGCGCTCCTGCTTACTCTGCAAACTCTCATTGTACAGACGCATAACCTGCAATCAGTGAAGAAGAGGGGGCTCACAGAGGACTCTGCACCTTCCTCAGTCTGGAACTCAAACCAGAGACATTACAACCAGTGCTTTTATGAAGAGATTACAGTGGAGAAAGAGACAAACATCAGTCAAAAATCACTGCAGCCAAAGTAAAAATATGTCCTTACTTTAGCTACTAGACAAGAGTCACTTTTTTTGTACATTTTTCACTAATTTATAGATAATTATTATGTTGAACTTCTTTTCACTAATCTGTAAATAAAAATGTGCAAGACAATAAATGCTGGAATCAAATCATGTTAGATTAAAGTAGTTTTGGACTATAATCCTAATTTTTCAAACAACTATTTTCAATTAAAATAACAATAAATGTAAACTAATTGAAGCCATAATTATTGTTTTCCATAAATGTAACTGAAATGTGTAGATTTGTTCACTCAAAAAGACTTTTTTTTCTTGTGCACTCACTCTTATTAAAAAGATCCACATGGCCCTTTATGTATTTCTAGTAATGGCGTGTAATATATTTAGCCCCACAGTCTTTACTGCGGTTGCTGGTGGTGCAGACCTGGTGGAACTTGCGTGAGAGTGCGGCGTGCTGAGTCCTCTGGATCCGAGCTGTGACTGAAGCGGCCCCCAGCTCCTCCGTCTTCTGCAGCTGCTTGGACAGAGCGTCCAGCCGTCTGTGGATGCTCTCAGCCTGGAGCTTTATGTCTCGTGTGATGCTGCTCTCCTTCTTCATCACACTGAAGCGACGCATTGTGGCCACCAGAGACTTCTGCTGCTGGCTGAACTTCACCACCTGGGCATTAGGATAGGCACTGTTACACACTCACTGCATTAACTAACTCCAAAAGATATTTTCAATTAAACTGAAATCCATGTACATAACTTTTAAAAGAATACATGGAAAATCCTGTTTTGTTTTTAACATTTCAAATAGCAAAAACTTGCACAATACTTTGAGTTACAGTTGCATGACTCTGGTTTTGGAGGAAACTTTTTTTGTTTTTGAAATGAGACAAATGTAATGCATTGAAGAATAATGAAATATATATTATGTACCATATGGTCAAGTGCTCATTAACTTTAGATTCTAGTACCATGACTAGAGGACTACAGGGACTACAGGTGGAAATTAGCCGCCATGCTAGTCGTGCAACATGTAGTATTGTACTTTGTCCCCGTTCAAATAGAGACATACTGAACCCTACTGAAGATGGGTTTCTGTTTGGTTTGGCACTTTGACTCAGCAGATATGTGGAGTGGTGAACAATGATAAACATTTGTTGCTAAAAATAGAACACAATCTTCCAGGGTCTACCCCTTGGTGGTGGAAGCTGAAGTGCTTCTACCACCTGAATATGAATAGAATATATGGAGGATTACAGAACGAGCTGAAGCTTTCAGATGCATCACACAGTTTGTTGAATGCAGTCAGAATACAGCTGAGGTTGTTTGCTGATTCGCTGAGACACAAGAACAGGACTGTAGTGAGGATAGTTGTCTGAACTTACACAATAGCTTACTGTCCATGAAGACAGATTTACAAAGTGAAAATTAATCCATGGACACAACCAGGTTATATACAGTACTTTAGCAAACTGCTGCTTTGACTGATGACTCCAAGGTTAACAGCAGTGAATGTCCCCTGCTCTCTAAATAAACTTGTTATTCTTGACTTTACCTCCACGTCCAGTGCTGTGATGTCATCTCTGATCTGCTGGATGTCAGACAGTAGATTTGTAACTGTGGAGTCTGCCTCAAAGACCACAGCCTCTGGAGTGATGATGCCCACCACTGTGTCCTCGTCATCCTGCTCCTCTGGGAACGGACTGGAGCTGTCAGTTTCATCTTCGTCGTCCTGAGCTCTGTGACGCAGCTCCGCCAGCCGGTCCCTCATGGTCTACACCAGTGGACAGGCCTGAGGAGAGATTTGAACTGTAGACTCAGACAGGTTTTGACGATAGTTCAGCCATCACTATGTACACAGGAGCCAAACATATTGACTTTGCTTAGAGTTTTTTAATACTGGCAGATGACCAAAAGCACACACCTTTACTGCCACATAAGAAGAGGCAGAGACATCACAGCACAAGTTTATTTTTGTTTAAAGGAGCAGTATATGCACAAATCTGGCCAAAAGTGGTACTGCATTCTCCCTGACACAGGTTGCCAGAAATGCAGACAAGTCCAGCTGGGACCAAAATATCTGAATAAAGAGTTTTTTCAACAACAAATCTATAACCAACACCTTTTTCACAAAGATAGAAATTCTTGTTGTTTCATTGATAATTTGAGCATCATAACGAGACCTATATTAGTTCTGTGGCCACATGTTACTTTAGCAGTGACATTAGCTTAACGTGGTGAGTTCTGGCAACCCGGATCACAGACTTTCTGATTGCCAAAACGAGTGGAGGGAGGGACATCAAAATAAGTAATAAGTAAGTAAGTAAGTAATGAAAACAATAACACGTTTTAGGGGCTGGAAAACTAATTTTGAAATCCAAAAATCTTGGCTGCTTTACTGTTATCAGTTAAAGAAGTATTGGACAAGAGTATGTTTTATTAATGCCTTTTGACAGATTAGGGCCCTTTAATGATGACTTGTCATGAAAATCTTACATACTGTATTGCTACTTGTCCTCCTAGGGAAACGTGTCGACTGCATTTCACCCATTCTTCCAACGCCACTCAGATCTCTGTCAGCAGCAGTAGTCACTGTAGTATCAACATGCTCGGCTTTGTCAGGACCAGAGTTGGAGGATGATACCAATTGTACATGTTCAGATTCAGATTCAGTTTATTTGCCATTTGCAGTAAAAACACCACATTGGAATACATTAGCAAAAAGTCTCCAGTGTGCACAGACAAATACAGACATAAAACAACATTAAAAGACAGAAATAAAACAAATAAAACAGTAAACAAATGTCACTGTGAAATCGATCGACTAAAACAGTTTCAAAACAAGTGCAAATCATTAAAGTGCTCTGTTCACACTGATAACAGCTTGTGGATAAAAACTGTTAGCGTAACGAGATGTCCTGCATCTCAGAGAGCGATATCTTCTGCCAGAGGGAAGAAGCTGGAACATGGCTTTCCCAGGGTGGCCAGAAGAGTCATTAACAATCCTAAGAGCTTTGTTTAAAAGTCTGGATTTATAAAGAACCTCCAGAACAGGAAGCTCACAGCCCACGGTCCTCTTTGCAGAGCGGAGCACGTTGTTTAAAGATCTTTTTTCTTTATCTGTGATGTTTCCAAACCACACAGACACAGAACCAACAAGTAAACTCTCAATGGTGCAGCGATAAAAGTTAAGCACAATCTTAGAGTTAGTGGTAAATTCTCTAAGTTTACGCAGAAAGTAGAGACGCTGACGAGCTTTCTTAACGACTCGGTCAGTGTTTTTAACCCATTTCAGGTCACCCATTTTTTTAACCCAGAAACTTGCACTGTTTTGGTGGTGGGGGAAACCGGAGCACTCCACTCAGATAGGCACTGTCCGGACCAAGATCCAAATCTAAAACCATCTTACAGAGAAGCAGGAGGGCTAACCACTCAGCTACCATGACGCCCTGGTAAAATATTTAGCTTTATAACTCAATACATTTGCAGGTGAAAGTTATAAACATAATCTTCTATATTCAATGCATGATCGGGAAGTAAATTATCGTCATTACGTTAAGGTTAAGGTTTGTTGTTTTATGTATGTACTTGTCTTGTGCACACCGGGGACTTTTGCTAATGTATTCCAATGTGGTTTTACTGAAAATGGCAAATAAATGAATCTGAAGGTGGAGATTTCAGTTATTGTCAATATAGAATTGAACATGTTATCCAGCTACAATTTCTCCGTTACTTGAGTACAGGCAACTGAAATTTAAAGTGGAGTAACAGTTTTCTTTACCATCCAGTTTCAGCCTCGACATTCCCTGCAGCATGTGACCAAAAGATGCTTTGTGCTTTGGTGATCGCCGTTACTGGAACTGGGTCACAATGGGATCTCCAGTATCTCTTCTTTTCTTTTATTTTTAAACATTTGCTTTTACAGGGAAGTAAACACGAAATGACCCGCAGGTATGCACGCGACTGTTACTTCCTCTGTGTTTTAATTTAGCCAAAATGTCCAGCAACGTAACACAAGATGTCGGGGCGCGGATCTCCTTCAAAGACATTCCTGAAACGCACCATTCAGGATGAGAACAGATTACGTTCTTCTTATCTCTGGGACAAGCTGTTATTATGTTGTTTGGATGAACGTTTTATCTTTTATTTATTTATAAATTACAATATATTTCAGAAGTCCGTTACATCTGTAGTATAACTTATAATGGAGAACAAGTATAAAGACAGGTCAGCTCTATCAAGCCTATATTTGTTATAATATTAAAAACTATGGCTCACGGCTTGTAAAAACTCCAACAAAAAACATCTTAAAGAATTAGAATATTTTAAAAAAGAACTGGATTTTAAGCCTTATTCATTAAATGTATAACAAACTGCAGGTATGAGCCTTATCAATTGGTTTTACATGTTTCGTTATTAACCAAAAACAAAAGGACTTTTGAAAGATATTCTAATTTTCCGTGTTTATAAGAATATATTTAAAATTATATTGCACCTTTCTTTCCAGGAAACCTCAAAGAACAGAAAAAAATACAGTAAAACAAACAAACCAAGTAAACAAAGCAAAAAAAAAACATCAGAAGATCATGCAGTTTCTCCTGTACCGTGGACAACCATCTACTCTACATGTATATAACTAAGTAGTTGCGATGTTATGGATTTGCCTTCGTTAGACTATTTCAAACATGTGGGATTGAGACCGCCCACTCCTTATCTCCACGGTCGACAGAGGCAGATAAAGGATCCAGATGCAGGTTTTTCGTCGGGACACACTGGATGCCTGAGAATCCATCTTCGGTCCGTGACGTGAGCATAACTAATGAGGCAGGCGCTCTCTGCTGAGCTCTCAAACATATTTTTAACTCCAGCGACTCAAGGTAAACAGGCCCAAAGTTTATCTGCCACATCAGTCAACCCACCCCACCCCTCTCCCACGGGAACACGGCAGCGCTGGCTTTTGCACAGACGCAGAATCAGCACAAATAAATGGGAAAAAACAAACAAACCACAACAAACTCCTGCCTTCTTAAACATTTAGGCGCCGGAGTTTTTCAAGAAAATATACAATTTTGATTTCAAGAATTCAAAAAGCCATAACTTTAAAATGGTTTGAGATAAAGGAATATTGTAGAATAGAAAAATCTTCAGTTTGAACCAAACTTTGGGATGGAAGTTGATTCATCATCTAATTTGCATATTGTGGCGTCATCGAGGTGGCCGCCATATTGGAAAATGTAAGTCTTGATTTTAGCCTAAACCCATTTTGGTCAGGCATTATTTAACTCTAAACTTCTAAATATTCTTTTTTTTTAAATATTTTGTAAGATGTTTTTGGGATAAACAAGTGAAATCAGAGCAAAATGTTCATAATGGCCGTAGAAAAAAAATGACTACAATTTCGTAACAACAAGAAAAAAATGTATTAAACGGTTCGGTTATATAGGTAAGGTTATTTTGAGTGATGGAGACTTCTCGCAACTAAATCTGAAGTCTGAACCTTAAGATGACAAAATTCTAAGATCAAATAAGATAATATAAACTTTATTGATCTCACAATGGAGAAATGTACAATAGGAATTACATGTTGTCATCAAGTATCAGAGTGATATGTCTCTCATGCATGATCTCTCCTATAGAATCTATATAGAATTAATCTATAAATACATTAAGAAATGTATTATAACGTTATTTGTGGGAAACAAATTAACAAATGTCCAACCGCATTTGTTATATGATTGTGAATATAGTAAAGCTGAGGTACCTAACATTAAAATAGCAATATGTAAGATTTTCATGTCAAGTCATCATTAAAGGGCCCTAATCTGTCAAAATGTATTAATAAAACCTGCTCTTTACCAATACTTCTTTAACTGACAACAGTAGTTCAGAGATATTTGGATTTCAAAATTAGTTTTCCAGCCCCTAAATCCTATTTTTGTTTTCATTTCAATGTCCTGCCCTCCACCGTTTCACCAATCAGAAAGTCTGTGATCCGGGTTGCCAAGCTAATCTCACTGGTAAAGTACCATGTGGCGCAGAACTAAAAAGATCTCGTTATGATTCTCAAATAATTAATAACAAAAACAGGAATAAAACCAGGATTTCTGTCTTTGTGAAAAAGGTGTTGGTTATAGATTTGTTGTTGACAAAACGCTTGTCTATTTAGCAACTATGGTCCCAGCTGGATTTGTCTGCATATCTGGCAACCTGAGTCAGGGAGAGTGCAGTACCACTTTTGGCCACATGTTTACATACTGCTCCTTTAAACCACAAACATATGACTTGGCCAAAAATGATTAAATCCATCTCATTCTCAAAACACTTTCTTCCAATAATTGTATTAAGTATTCGTCGCTTTTGTTACATCTTTAAATCAGCTTTTTCAGACCAAGACCAGACTAATTTATGGGCATGTAAGCAAACTATAAAAGGTTTTCTGATTATGTGTAAGACAGCATGATTTACTTTTACAAGACTCTTTTATGTTGAGACATATATAATGCATTATTTATGAATGAAATCTTAGGTGCCCCAGCTTTAAGGCATGGCAACCACATCATTCGGCTCTAAGAGATATTATGATTGTTTAAGTGTTAGTACCAATGATCAACAACGATAGACAGTGCATTCAAGTTATGGAATGTACTTATTGTGGGAGCAGTTATTGTGTTATTGTGTGATGGTATCATTGCATCGTACTGAGTGTCTTGATGTGATTGTGTGTTTTATTCTGATGGCTGCACCTGGATTGTCCCTCGGGAATAGAATAAT